GACGAGGAGCTTCAGCGACACTTCATCCGGGCATATGAGTCTGATCCGGACTTCGCCACGCTGTATGCACAACTATCTTCGGATCACCCACCGGCCAGCCACTATCGCATTACCGATGGGTACTTGCTCCTGCACTCGAGAGGCAAGGACCATCGTCTTCGGACTCGCCTTCTCGGGGAGTACCATAACTCGCGACTCGCCGGCCATTTCAGAGTCAACCGCACCATTGCACGGCTTCCACAACGATTCCGATGGCCTGACCCCGATGTCACTCGGTATTGCGACTCTTGCGAAGTTTGCCGACGCAGCAAACCCCACAACCGCAATCCCTATGGCGAGTTACGCCCGATGCCCATCCCACGGGAGCCCGGTCTCTCCATTGCCATGGACGTCACCGGACCGTTTCCTCGCGACCGGCTCGGGCACGACGGCATCCTCACGGTGGTGGACCGATTGAGCAAGTTTGGCGTTTTCTTCCTTGCAAGTACTACTCCACGGCTCCCGAGCTGGCACGCCTCCTGCACACCGGTTGGATTTGTGGCCACGGTGTACCAGAAGACATAGTCAGTGACCGCGACACCCGCTTCATGTCGGCATTTTGGACTGCACTCATGCAGGAGTCCGGCACGAAGATGAAACCAAGTTCAGCTCGGCATCCACAGACGGACGGGCAAACGGAGCGGGCACATCAAACCGCTCAAATGATGCTTCGTACGCTCATCCGTCCAGACCAGAAAGATTGGGTTGACCGCCTCCCCGACATCGAGTTCGCCTACAACACTTCGGTGCATCCGGCGATCGACGTGACTCCATTCGAGTTGCACCACGGTGGACGGAAAGGCCGGATCTTCGCCGACCTTCTCCTCCCTCGACCAGTCGACATTGACGCTGCCTGTTGTCCCGCTTCCGTCCGGAAGTACAGGGAATTGCTGACTCAATCCCGCACAAACATGCAAAAGGCTCAAGTCCGCATGCAGCAACAAGCCAACAGGCGTCGCGTACCATGTCCCATCCGCGCCGGTGATCTGGTTTGGGTCTCCACGGAAGAGTTTGCACTGGAACAGGATGTTTCACGCAAACTGCTTCCCAAGTGGTTTGGACCTTGGTCTGTGACAGCAGCCGCGGGCGATGAGCCCCATGGCCCTTCATTTGTGATCAACATTCTAGAGCATCTGACGGTCCATCCGGTCTTCCACGCCTCGAAGTTGGCAACATACACACCAGCCAAGAGCGACGACTTTCCGGGCCGACGATCGCAGGACCCTCCATCTATGGATGGTCATCAGGAAGTTGACCGCGTCATCACCGATCGCAAGTACGGCAGCAAGTCGCGGCAGTACAAAGTCACATTCAAAGCATGCGATCGCGACGACACTCGGTGGATTTCRGGCGCAGATTTGAAAGCATCCGCACCRCTGATCTACGCGCATTATGAAAAGCGGAGGTTAGCTCAGGAAGCTTCACGACCAGCCCCTCCCACCCRGACTGTGGTCCCTCCCTCAGACAGACAGCTTYGCCCTCGCAGGTAAGCTCGGTTCTTCAAGGAGGGGGGGGGGTGGCATACTGCGTAGCCACACGGGCCCTGCAGGGCCCGTCCCGGACATTCAGCCTAAAAGCCTAAAACTTAGGGCTTACAGGCCCCGGTCGTTTCAGCCTGAAAGCTGAAAAACGAGGGCTTAGGGCTTACAGGCCCCGGTCGTTTCAGCCTAAAAGCTGAAAAATGAGGGCTTGCAGGCCCTACTCCGTTTCAGCCTATTTCTGGGGCTTTCAGACCTAGAGTTTTTCCAGCCTTAAACGGAGGGCCATTTTCAGGCCCTCATTGTTTCGACCACCCCTAAGACTCAGGCACGAATACAGGGTTTCGGAACAAGCCAAAAATAGCCTGTTCCTCACGAGCTTGAGCAGGAGCTGCAGCTGCAGCCCCTGCCTCCGATCGGCATTGGCAAGAGCAGCCTCCTGGACTGCTCGCCTGCAGTCAAGAGGCACCCGTGGTAGTACATAGGAGTTTCCCAGGCACTTCACGGGTAGGTAGAGTCAATAGGCACGAGTAGTCTTCAGGATTCGGGCAGCACTCAGGAGGAGCGCTGCAGTAGTCTTCAGCGCTAGGCAGTAGTTAGCGCTAGCTGTAGTCTTCGGCGCTGGGCGCCCATAGCCATAGAGTAGTCTTCAGCGCTGGGCGCTGGTAGGTGGTAGATCGTAGAGTTGGGAGAGATACTGGCGGAGGCCAGTGGTACTTACCTGTGGCGCCATCGCTCCAGCTCCATCTTCGAGGTACCTGGATCAAGGCGCCAACTTCACAGGTTAGTACTGGACACAAAGAGAGAGAGAGTTCTTCTTCCTCTTCTAAGTCCACCATCTCTTCTCACCCTCTCGCCACCTGACTTCTCAGACTACGACAAAGAGAGAAAGAGTTGTGACTTGAGACTTGACGACATTGGATCCAGACTGGACATTTGGGATTCAGACATTTCGACGAGGGACTATTTGGGCCTGTGCCGAGACTTGGTGTTGACGACATTCCCATCTTCCCCTCCTCTTCGTCTAACCCCTCCTTCTTCGTCTGTGTATGGTTGGGGCTGGCGCAGTCTTCTTGTGTGAAGCGCCAGACCCCCTTCACACCAGATAACGATGGTGATGATGTGTGTTCATGGCTGCATTGCAATATTGATTGTTTGGATCATTCGTATCTAAGTCTTCCACTGTGTTATCTTGTATTTTGTATTGAGAGGTCGGTTCTTGTTCTGGTCTGCACGTTACAGTATGCAACAGCGTGTCAGTGACGTGGAGGACAGTTTCTTGCCTGAAGAAGAGCATAGGGGGCAAAGAGAGAGAGAGAGAGAGAGAGAGAGAGAGAGAGAGAGAGAGAGAGAGAGAGAGCACGGGCAGTGATTTGTGATTACGGGCCTGCACAAGCCTGTCCCGTTCACCAGGGCAAAAACGGAGCAGGCGTTGACCTTCGGGGAAAAAAAAGAAAGGTTATATTCGAATACAACAATTTTCTCTTCGTGAAATTCAAATATAACGCATATGCGTATTTTCGAACAGTGTTATGATCCTGGTCAATTTCGAGATACACATTCATCAGATAGTACAATGCTGTCCAATTGCAGATAAGGCTCTTCCTCTTCGCCAAACTCAGTCTTCCTCCCTGTATCCTCATCTCTTATTCACACAAGAAATAATAATACAATGTTGAATGGCTGAACCAGAATCAATGTCCGAACACTCTCATAGGCCGAGGCTATGGCGGACTACTAGGCCTTGCCCAGATGCCCAAAGGACAACCCAAAGCAGCTATGGCTGCTCTAGCTCAGGCCGCCGTGCCAAGCTCTGCCTCGAAGCTTCTTGGTGAAGCTCAACCCCCAGCTGTGGCCTTCCTGCTGCAGCGCCCACCAAGGTGATGAAGATGGCTGCCACCATAGCCAGGTAAGTACCTCTGGCGCTCCTCCCTAGCCCTGGCCTTCTTCCTCCTCCGTGTCCTTGCTCCTTCCCCAGCAGCGCTGCTGAGTGCTAGCGCTGCTCCAACCAGTGTGTCGCCAAACTTGCACATCGACAATGAGGTTGGGCTCTTCGCCCGGCGGGGAGATATAGCGGCCTGCTTGCCTCTTAGGCTGTGACTTCCAGGCCAAGCAGCCGGTACCTCCTCCCTTTCGGAGGGAAACATCATTGCAGACTCTGATATTGCCCGTACAGGCCCTAGACTCAGACTGGTTGGACTGGTACCCGCCTAGACCTAGCCTAAAACTACAGGGCCTCTAAAAATGCCATTTTGTCTTCTTCTGCTCGGCCTCGAGTACCCTGCACATCTACCTCTTCAGGGTGTGGTACCAGCGTACCTGCTACTTGAGTGTTTTCCCGCTGCTTCAAGGGCTGTGGGCCTCTTCCCCCCGCCACTTGAGTGTTTTCCCCCGCTGCAATCCTCAATGTCACAGCCACAGGTAAGTACCGCCCTGAGGTCCCAACGAACGAACAAGTGCGCTTGCGGGTCACACACACACTCAAGCCATCATGCACTCAGACAGACATGCAGACCAGCAAGCGTGCACACACACAGACTGATGGTCAGATGCATCCCGGTCTGGACGTGATTGCATCATTGCAGTCAGCTACGTTTACAGAAGTGCTAGACTAAGTGTGAGTATGTCCTTAATGAGGAGAATGAAATGAAGATCTCTAGACAAGAAGAGATTCTCAATGAGAGAATAAGCTTCAGAGTAATCCCCTGCCGCAGCAGGGCAACCCACGCTGTCAATCAATGCTGTTGGGCCCCTGTGGAACTTTTCGGTTCGTGATCTGTGTTCGACGCTGCACCCAGTTCCAGCAGGTGTTCTTCCACGCCAATGGACTGGAGCCATCCGCATCTGAGAGACCACTGGGGTATGGTCATATCACCCTCAATAGTTGATCAGGCGGACAGTTTCCTCAAAACAAAAAAAAACAAAAAAAAAAAAGCTCTAGAGTCTAAACAATAAAGCAACGCTATCACACTATCTGTTTGCCACGTCTCCTCCTCCTCTTCCTCCTCAACAAAAGTATCCTCACTTTGGGCCTTGCCACACCACTCGCGCAACGAAAAGAAAGGTGTGCATCTTCCTGCAAAAGGTCTCCGGATTCATCCGTTGCTATTGATAGCAACGCATGTTTTTTGCCAACTTTTGTGGGAAGACGCACATGCAGTTTTTCACCTGAGTGGTGTAGTGAGGCCCTTCATTACTCCAGAGCATACTTGGGGCGCATCACGTGCGCGCAGCTTCCACACGTGCGCCGCAGCACACATGCGCACACGTGCGCGCGCACGTGATGCGGCGCATTTAAAATTAAGAAAAAAAAAAATCAGAAAGGGTAGGTCGTCGTACCCATAAGTGTCCCTCCCTTTTAAAAAGGGTAAGTACACAAAGAGAATATTTTGGGGCCTCATCCTACTTCTCATTGGTTTGATTCTCCTTTCCTAAAAGTACCCTGCAAGCAATTAGCAGGGTTTCCATAACATTCGGAAGGATGTGCATTGGACTGCTGGAAGACCACGAGTAGGCCAGCAATATATCCCGGATTCGGATTCAGGTCTGTGTTCCAAGAGTTATGGGTTACGAATTTACCACAAACACTCCAGTAGTTGTCTCGTTTTTTTTTCCCCCCTTTTTCTTACGTGCAGTGGCCCTAAGGGCCTCGCTCCAGTCATCAGCACTTGCAGAAAAGACAAACGGATGGCTTGTATGGTTCCAGTTTCTAGGAGAAGATTCATTGTAGTTTTGCACATACAGTAGCTGTCTCGTTTTTTTTGTTTTTCCTTTTCTTACTTGCGTGCAGTGGCCCTAAGGGCCTGGCTCCACTCATCAGCACTTGCAGAAAAGAAAAACGTATGGCCTGTAATTGGCCCTGTATGGATCCAGTTTCTAGGAGAAGATTCATTCTAGTTTTGCACATTTGGTGAGTAGTGGAGTGAAGCCCTCGAAATCACATGCCGAGTTAGTAAGTCAGTAACCCATAACTGCTGAAACACGGACCTGAAATCGAAGCTACACCATATGTAGCTGGCCTACTCCCTCCTTACTATGAGTCCAGTGACGACCCTTCCAATGACCACCCCGTTCCTGCCGAAGGGACCCTTGCCAATATTTGGCAGGGATCTTTTGAAGTACTGGCAGGGATTGTCTGAATAATGTGAAAGGGCTCTGTGCTCTCTCTCTCTCTCTCTCTCTCTCTCTCTCTCTCTCTCTCTCTCTCTCTCTCTCTCTCTCCCCAGCGTGTATACAGTACTATACACACATCACGTCTTTTTTTTTTTTTTTTTTTTTTTTTTTTTTTTTTKTGCGCACGCCCGCMCCTGGGATTAGCGCACTGCGCMCCGCGCAGCGTACTGTGCAGCGCACTTCACCTATGCGCCGCAAGTATGCTCCAGAGTCCACAGAAATAAACAATTGATTTTCGGAAGAATCAGGTCCTGAGAATCATCCCTGGTACCATCTTATCCTGAACACGACCAAACCTCATCATCACTGCATTGGACAAGAAAGATAACTTCTATTCATTCATGATGAGGGTGCGTTGGAACCTCATCATGACTGTATTGGACTAGGAAGATAGCAGCGTCCCCCAATAGGTTCATGCACAGATGTTCACCGGAAATAATTCCCAAACCTTTGGCTTCCAAATGGAATTAAAAACAGTTCACGAGCCTCTTGCACTCGGGGGTTAGGGGCTCGTTAGACACGTTGCCGAGGAAATTATCGTTCCACTTATCCTCGGCGATTAAAAGAAAAAAAAAATGTGAAAACATTTTCTCCAAGAATCCTTGGGGCATCCTCGAGCTACAGCCATTTTGTGGCCTTCCCCAAGGTACCTCCTGAGGTCCCTCGGAGGTCAAGGATCCGCAGTAATCGGAGCGGCGAGGGCACCCATCGTCGGCAAAAAAAAATTGTCGGCTGGTCCATTGGAGTACCTACCGGCCACCACACGGACATCTTGGTTCGTCAACGTTCAGCTTCCAGGATCCTTACGCCAACGGAAATCTTTGGTGGCCGGGCGGCCTCCGCAAACGTCATCAACCAGTGTTCTCCCTCGCAGTGCGTGCCACCAGACAGAAAGGGCTTAAGCGGTCGGCAAAATTGAATATTTTACCCGACCCGTCTTTCGATTCCCCACTGTACTCAGCGACATAAAACATTAGAGGGCATTTGTTGGATGCTGCGTCTGCCATTTGCTGCCCTCTTCGTCACCGTTTGGTGGAGGTATACCGGCGTCGTGTAGTTACTGCCCTTCCCTACGTGTCGTTCATGGCCGGCGTCTTTCGAAGTCTGCCGCTGCTGCTCTTGATAATCATTTTGTTTGTCCTTCTAATCGTCTTCCACGTCTGCATCCTCGGCAGGCTATCTGGACACACGCGCAAGAGGCGTTCCGCAAAGAAGGGCGTCACTATGGACGAATGGCAGGCAAAGGGCAGGTCTTCAGTGGACCACTCCACGAGCCACCGTGCAGGCCACGTCCCGGTGTGAGAAAACCCGGGGAGGGTCGCCTACTGTTCGCTGAAGCCATGGGCAACAGCGCCTGTCACTCGCTGCGCCCGCATCAGAGGTCTTCAGCGACCAGCAGGGTGTCGAGGATCAGATTGCCTGTCATGCTCCCACTAGAACGCTGAGTCAGAAGACTGGTGAAGAGTAGTATGGATCTTGAGATGGACTGACATGCGGTTACTACAGCAACAGGGGTATAGACAGTTCTCGTGCCCCAGGGGCATTACCGCAAATTGGTTCGGGCAGATTACCCACTGTGCCTTTCAAGCAAGTTACCAAAGTCAGCACTTAGCCCGAAGAAGGCCTAGATTTCAAACTTCCTGGGTGAATCTCCACTGATAGGCCAGAGTCATATCAGTAAGCAGTTTCAGTAAACTCATGGCAGCCCCGCAGCCCCTCTTCCCGCATGGCTTCGTTTCGGTGTCGGAGCGGACCAGAAATCAGTCATTCCAAACCGGCATTCCATGGCTCCACATTTACTAAGGGTTTTATCAGTATTATTTTTTTTTTTTTCTCCGATATGGCAAACAGATAAATGAATAAACAAATAATTAAACAAATAAATAAACAAAGCAGGACTTTGGAGACTTCCTTCAAAATCTTGAGCGACAAGCCGCCGCTCATTTTTGGGAATGGTTCAGACACTCGTCACAGCCAGAATCATTCGGGGATTTATCGAATTAGGAAGGGTTCTGTTCGGTTCTGACAACATGGGCTGCAGATGGCAGATAATCCCTGCCCCTTGTCAGATACTAATTTAAACTGGCAATTTATTGGTTTCCTCCCAGATTGGTATTACACTTTTGCTCAGGGATTTCAAACACCGAACAGATATAGAGGAAAGGGAAGATCAAAGAGAACTCGCGGCACAAAGCTGTCTGATCCATCCTGGCTATTCGCCCACTTCTCCCCCTGCGCAGAAGGAAACGACCATCTATTACACAGCCAAGTCCCCGTGCCTGTTCAGTGACAGTGGTCCCAGAGGAAAGATGTCATTGAAATGAACCTTTAGTCTGATCATGGGTAGATCCGCCACATTTTTCAGTGTCTTCCATCCACTGTGACCATAGCCCGGCGCCCTTGGGGGGACGGAAAAGGAAACAAACCGTCAGCGAGAGTATGGGAAGATGCACAGTCATATTATTTGCCTTTTGTACCCCATGGTTCCACCCAGCTAGTCACGAACTACAGGAATGAATCTTCAGCTAGAACAGGGGAAGGCACGCAGCCTCGATCGCAGTCATTGGTACACCGCAGCGCTCATCATTTAATCCCCAAACGAAGATGAACCTTCAGCGCAAACAACGAGGAATACTTAGGCGCATCCTTTGCCCTCTCTCCGCACTTCCCTAGATGGGAGCGAACCTTCAGCAAAAACGTGGAGAAATACATCAACATATTCTTCATCATTTTACTCCACGTTTTGCAGCTTTAGATGTGACTAACCCCCTTTCTCTCTCTCTCTCTGCAGTCTCCCTCTCTCACTGCAGTCTCCCTCTCGCTCACTGCGCAGTCTATCTATCTCTCACTGCACTCTCTCTCTCTCTCTCTCTCTCTCTCTCTCTCTCTCTCTCTCT